AAGAAAAAATACGGGAAGCAATGACCATCTCTTTCCCTATTCCTAACACCAACCTGGAAACAGAGCTAGGTTTCTTGTAAAAACGCAAACATTAATCATAAAAATGTTAACTTACAGCTTCTCTGCCAATGAGTGGATAAAAAGGGGTGCCAAAAAGTTTCCTTCCATTGATAAATGCCTTCATGATGAAATTGGTCACTATTGAAAGAAGGAAATAATAAAGATGCAGATATTAATGTGCTAAAGTTTTAAAAGCAGAACATCTTTCTTTAAAACTTACTTTTTCTAGAAACTCCAGCACCAAGGTTATGATTCAAGTCAAAAGGGTCTAGAAAAGAAATATTTCTTAATTAATAATTATCCACTGTACCAAAAAATATTCAGAACTGAAGTCTAATAACATATTACAACACCAGATATTCTCAGACTATCCAAGTCAGTAAATTATCCTTTTAAAATTATTTATTAAGGATGAAAACCAACAAAAATCAAAAGGAAAGGGCCAGCCAGATAGCTCAATGGACTAAAGCACCTGCTTAGGCAGGCGCAGGGTTCAATCCCCAGCATGCTGGCCCTGCGCCCTGGGATGCACTGAGATGGCAATGAGATTGGGCGCTGTGGCACGTGCCTGTAATCCCAGCACTTGGGAGGCTGAAAACAGGAAGATCACTATGAGTCCAATCCGTGTAGTGATGCCCTGTAGACCCTGTACTAAATACAAAAAAAAAAGGAAGAATCTTTCAAGTCCTAATAGCTTTCCCTCAATTTCCTTGTCCAAAGTCTTCTTTTGTTCTTGAATATTAGCAAACATAATTATTACCTTCAATTGCAATGCATTTAGATGTCCACTGCTTTTCAAAAGTTGTCAACAGCTTTTTCTGACGAATACTAATTACATATTCCTTGAAATCAAACTCTTCAGTATAGAAGCGAAGCAATCCCAACCAAAGTTCACCTAATGATTCTGTGTTCTTTCCAAGTGAAGGTAAACGCTTTTTCTACAGTTAGGAAATACAGAGGAAGAGAAACGAGTGGAGGTTAAGGAAAGAGAAAAAAGAAAAGCATCTCCTAAGATATGGACAACAAATCCAAGTAAAATTATTAAATTAAGCTGGGTGCAGTGGCACACACCTATAATCCCAGCACGAGAGGCTGAGAGTTCAAGGCCAGCCTAGGTTATCTAGTGAGCTCAAGGTCAACCTGAACTGTACAGTGAGACCCTTTCTCAAAAGTAAAAGAAAAAAAAAGAAACAAAATTATTAAATTATGCAAATCCTAGCATGTATCAATGAGCATTCTGTAACATAAACACTATGAAAACATTACCAGTTCTTCTGTTTTATCAAAGAAGAAGGCATTCCATCCATCAACCATTCTTTGTGGAATCTGTTTTCCAT